CCTTAACTAACACAAGTACTGTGGTAGTACTGTAATATTCTATCAATTACATTGAAGCACCATTCTTTATGAATACACCAATCATTCAGTATTATATTACTACCACATGATATATTACTGTATCGTTACTTTTTGCAGGGTGTTCAGAAACTAATTTTACCTGAACCAATAGAAGCTAATGAAAGATAAACACAACCAGCTCAACAAACTCTTCACTTACCCTTTATACTTTCACAAACGCACAAATAGCTTCCTTTAAAAACAAAGTTTGTTTATATGAAATCTAATGTATAATATCTACAAACCATAGACTGTAAAAAAAAAACAGCTTCAAACACGACCACACGACGCGGTCTACCCGTCGCACAGTATGTCGTCATATCCGCCTGTTCTTCTTCTTCTTCTTTTTGCTCAATGGCCGTTCACTCCTTAGGAGTATTACCGCCACCTACTGTATATCTTGCGCAGCTATCCGCCTGTTTTACTCTCCAGCGGTTGAAATAATGTCAGACCGCAGTGGAAATACTAACTGTCTTGGTCTACTCCAATCGGTGCTTTAATATTATCAATTTAATCTTTTTCTTATTACGCTGACGTGTGTTCTGTGGAGCAGCGGTTCTAAACCTCACTGGGTCCCCCATTGTCCACAACAATATTTGAAGTTTGGCCCCATGATTTTTCCCCCCAGTTGTTCATAATTTACTAATGGTGGATTTTTACGACTTTAATAACACACATGACTTTTTCAGGTCTAGAATTCACCGTTTTAGAATTAGGATACAGTAAATATCCAGGCTCATACAAGATATTAATATATATAATATGAATTAAAATAAAAAAAAGTCTTGATTTTTCGATGTTTTGGCTTATTTTAATGCGTGTTTTGGTTTATCATTTTAAGTCACATTGAGACCACCTGGTTATACCATATTATTTATACCATTATTAATTTATTCATTTCTCAGGGTGGGTTTATTTATTAAATTCATTAAAGATTTTTTTTTATTTTTTTTTTTATAATTCGACCAAAACGAATTATTAAATGAACTGTACTACTTTTACTGTGGGCCTTTCATCTAAATATAAATAGAAAAATTATTAAATTATAAAACACAAAACACTTCAAAGAAGTCAGCATTTTATTTCAGTGTATTCTATCATCGCGCTGCTGAATTACTTCTTCCTCCTCGGTTTTATGGCGGGTAGCACCCATGTTAAGGTGCATTATCGCCACCTACTGTATTGGAGTGTGAACCAGAGTTTACCCTTTCATAAGAGGACAAAAAAAAATTACTAAATAAAATAAAAAAATGTTTACTTCTTTACCTCAAGAAGATTTTTCCCACTAAATTCTCTTAATCAGCTCTGTTCTCTTAAGATACAAAAATAAACTTTCTAGTCCATAAGTAAATATATTTTTAAGCTTTAGGTTATCCACTCCCATCTTTCTAAGTTCATTCTTCATTGTTTCTCGTTCATTAGTATACTTTTGACAAACACAAATAACATGTTCTACTGATTCCTCCATTCCACAGTGCTCACATAATCCTGTTGGATGTTTATTTATTATTTTTAAGGTTTTATTCAGCATAGTATGCCCAACCCTTAATCTTGTTAGAATATTTTCCTCTTTGGTGCTTCTTTTAGTTATTCTCACGACTCCTACTTCTCGCTGTATTTCATAAAGTTGACGTCCTGTATTTCCTGTATCCCATTTATGTTGCCACTCCTTAGTGGTATATGCTTTAATTACTGCTTTTGCTTCATATTTACTAAGTGAGATATTCTGCTGAATTACTGATTTCTGTCCTCTCTTTTATTTTCTATGCGCTTTAACTACATTTCCCATGATTCCCTTCCGAACTAACTTCCTATGGAGATAAAGCGTGTGACTGCGGTAAGTGGCGTGATGTCAAACAGTTATATATTTCAGTTTGATATTAATCTGTCATGTTGAATAAAATAAACGACAGTATTCATAGATCATTACCCTGCTATTTGTGACTGTTTAAGACTCGAGAGTTCAAAGCTAGTGAGCTAATTAGCATGTAGCTGCTAAACAATAACGTTATATTGCTGCAGCAGGACTTGATAAAACCGTCTTTAAATTGACGGTATATGCATTACTTAACGATGATAAACTTTAAATATTGATATATGTGTTATGTATACAGATGTCGGTATTGCAGTCATCAGCGCGACTGCTCTGATAGTAATTTCCTCGAGACAAATGTGAACAAGGGTTCAGCATAATTAACGTGGGTTTATCCCACAGATGTATAATAAAACTGTATACATAGCTAAGTGGTTTAGCCACAATAAGTGACTCTCTTATCAGCTGTGTAACGGGCTTCCAGGCAGCGAGAGGCCGGGGATGTGAAGATGCTGCGCAGGAAACCCACGCGCCTGGAGCTGAAGCTGGATGACACGGAGGAGTTTGAAAGTGTCAAGAAAGAGCTGGAGGTACAGTCCAGATGATCCTCCAGTAAATTCACTTCTTCACAGGACTGGATGTTTAGGAGATGCTTTCTATACAAATTAGTTTCCAGAAAAGAACATTGAAACAAGTGATAATAACCCTTTAACTTTTTCACCCCTAAAAGGAGCTAATGAAAAAATTATTTAACTTAAAATTCTTATTAGTAGACATCTAATAAATAGCCTCAAGCTCCTGGTTTTATATAAAACTCTACCGTACGGTTGTGCTGTTAGTCAGTCCATGGTAAATCTTGATTTAAATTCAGAGAACTAGCCTATTTCATGAGTTATTTTCCAATAATAAACATTCCTTTAACTTTATTAGTATCTTGGATACATTTCATAACCTTCAGGGTCCACAAAGATAAAAAATATATATATTTAAGCATCTGTATAATATATATAGCCGTATGGCAATATATATGCTATATGATGTCCTTTACAGACATGTCAGCCGTACGGTCACGCATGATTTTGGATAATTATGGTAAATAAACATTTTTGCATTTCTCTTTTATTTAGCTATATTTGTTCTTTACCCTCTACTTCCTTGATTTCTTGTTTGACCCTATTTTCTGATGACTGATCAGCACTGTTCCAATCCACGGATAAGGATTATTTGTAGAGAAACTGTGATTTGAAATGATTTCTTTCAGTCTTTTTAAGTGGAACTTCCTCAAACCAGAAGTGCCTCTCATGATTTAAAATGCAGTAGGTTAGTTAGGAAAAAGATGGATTCTGCATAGGACATAGTATTTAAATTGTGTTTGTTGTAATCACATGACCAGCCAAAAACTACTAATTTCAGCAGTATGCAATGCAACGTGTAGAAAGACAGTATAAGTCATTATAATCCGTAATTATGTCCCCACTGGATGCAACAAATGCCTCGTTTATAATGGGTTTTAATGTTTTTGTCTCGTCGCTCCGGCCGGACAGGGCATCATCACAGTATGGTAGGGGCGTAACATTTCCGTCACACACTTGAGGTATTCGGCCAATCACAACGCACTGGATAACTGGCCAATCACAGCACACCTCTCTTTTCAGACCGATGAGCTTTGTAAAAATCGATGCGTTTCAGAAAGGCGGGGCATAGAGGAGAAACAATAATGTACAGTATGTGGAAAATAATGTGTTTTTTGAACCTTAAACCGCATAAACACATTTCATTACACCAAATGCACAAAATAATGTTCTTTTTAGCAGCATCATATGACCCCTTTAACCCATCCAAATACACACGTGAACACACAGCCGCAGTAGTGGGCAGCCATTTTTTCTGCGGTGCCCCGGGGAGCAATTGGTGATTTGGTGCCTTGCTCAAGGTTATTGAAGGTGGAAGAGAGCGCTGTACATTCACTCCCTCACCTACAATTCCTTCTGGTACTGAGACTCATGGGTAGCAAAATACCTGTCAAATTATACAATGGCATCCAGTTTCCATCTTGAGTACATTGAGGTTCTGCCAGCATGGTCAAGCAGGCCAAACACCTAAACCAGTTAGAAGTAGCTAACAGTAATGATACAGTGTAAAAAATGCCACATGTGAAACTCTGAAATAGCATCGGGTTTGAGCAGAAAAAGACAATTTGTCTATAGCATATTTAAGCAAATTTGTGTGCTAAGATCTACAACATACACTTAAAGATAGTTTTGTGTAAGTAAAGATTGATCTTGTTTTAATCTCCACGTTTCTTACCCATGTCTGTCCAGAGTCGAAAGAAACAGAGGGATGAGGTGGATGTAGTTGGTGTCGCCACATCCAGCGAGATGAGCGGCGCATCAGGTGGCGGCACGGACGGGAAGACCAGGGAGCAGATGATCCACGAGCGAATCGGTTACAAACCCCACCCAAAGCCTAACACGTTACCGTCACTTTTTGGGAACCTTCAGTTTTGACCATTTGCAAGGTCTTGAGAATCTGCATCACACACATACATGTATTATGATTTGATAATGCCTGACCTGAAATAGACTGAAAGCATTCTGGGTTTGGTTAACTGTGTGTTTGTGATAACTGATTACAAAGGACTATTTTTCTACTTGAGTAAATACAGTCTTGTCCGTTGGATGTGGAAAATTGTATCTTTTCGCTTTACTGAAAATACAACAAGAACAAGACGAGGAGAAACATTTCATAGGTGAGCCGATCATCAAAACGGGTTGGTTTATAAATGAGGTGGTCAAGAAGAATATCTTTGAAATCATACAATATTTATTCATCATTTTCTTTATGATTACAGTACATTACTCTACAGACTTGACTGAACTGTAAACAGACTTAAGAAATCTTAACACTGCCACAGCACTAGAAATGAGGTTCAGTCTACAGTTGTAGTTTTTCCCCACTCAAGACAATGCGAAACTTTGTTTTTGAAACAAAATCTGCGTTTTGAGTAACCCCTGTGATGGAGAACAGAACCTCGGATCTACAATTCTACAAAAACACGATGTGAATATTTTCTTTTAGAATAGTTTTTCTGCTTTAAAAAAAAAAAAAGAAAATTACAGGAAAAAAATTATAAAGGAACAAAAAAAAAAACTTTTAAACAGGCTTTCTTCTAAAACCCACATGCTTACTGGTTCAAAATATATGTGGTTTTGCGATTTTCTCAGTAAGAAAGCTTTGTGTTTACGAGCAATTGAGACACTCTTTGGGCACTTTTATTGGGTCCTGTATGTAAAAGGCACACTCCTTTCAATTAAGGAGAATAACTATCATCAATTTCCACATAAAATTCACATTCCGAGACCCAGTAACTATCAGAGTGATGACCTTAATGTTTTTAACAGCTCATGATTTGCTCGACATCACAAATGTGCCACAATTTGTCATTTAAAAATGTCATAACGTAAAAGGATCCACATAAAGATTGCCAGAAAACATTGATAACAAGTACAATTGAGTGTTACAAATATAAATTATAAAACGAAATCAGTGACACTGGCATCAGATATAATTTACTTTCCACTAATCTCCCCGTATTTACTTAAAAGCACTCCAAAGGGAGCAAAGTTCGACTTCAAACTCAAGAGTCTCAAAACCTCTCTTTCTTGTGCAAACATTCAGTCCAGTGTTTATGTCTAAACAATGGTCAATGATTATTAACGGTGGTTTCAGCGATTTGAAACACTTGGCCATAACCTCAAAAGAAAAAAAATCACCCTCCCACCACTAGTGCTTGTATATTGGGTCCACCAGATCCATTTTGGCTTTTAGAGTCAACGCTCGCCCTCTTGGGTGTATGTGTGTGTGTTCCCTCATTTAAGGCAAAGGGTTTAGTAAGGCTCTTTCGCACCCAGAGGCACCTTCATAAACATAAGAATCCGTGAGATGTTACAAATAATGTCAGTTGTGACCATCAGTACTATGGAGGTAGACTGCTAGGCTGTGCACACTTATGCTATTATTAGGATGGTGATGATAGACGGTTGTTGGGATATGAAATATGGGGCTAATTTGTAAAAAACGAATCAAATTCGAGCTTTAAAATGAATAGAGCCACTTGGCTGATATTTACCAAGATTAAAGAAATCATAGAGTGCTCTACACATATAGAGTTGCGGTGCATGTTGGGATTGTGAAGTGGGTGTTTTTTTTGAGGTTATACACAAGAGAGGTTAATGACAGTGTTCTGTAATATCTACCACTACTGCCTTCTTCCAGCTGAACAGGAAGTAGCCGAGGCCGGCGCCCGCCGCCACAGCGATGCACAGGTAGCCGTTGTATGTCATGAACACCAGCATGAGGAAGTAACTGACCACCACTTGGATGATGTGAAGAAGCGTCTGGAATAAGTGCGCGAGACTCAGCATTCGCTGGCTGGAGGAGAGAACAGAAGCAGGGGTTTAGCTTAGTACAGGATTATAAATGGCAGGTCATCAGTGTGAAGACACAACCTGGGGAATGCATGTTTACCTCTCGGGGGTCACTCGTGTGGCAGTGACTGCATACAGGAGATGATCAGATCAGTGTAAACAGGCTTAATGTTGATTTATGTTTGCCTGTTTTCACGGAGCTCATTTAAAAAGCGGTGATGAAAGAAAATGTTTTCAATCAGAGCTAGAGGTTTGCAAACCCCGGGGTTTTCAAACAGAGAGGAGCAATGTGGTGCTTCAAAAAGAAAAAAACTGATTGACAAATTGATACATCTAATAATAGAGATAATATCTGAATCATTTCATTTGACTTTAGTACTAATATATACACAATATAAAGGCCAATTATTACATTTTGCAAACAACATTTCTTTATATTATCCTTAATCATGACATAAGTCCAAATTATGACATAATTATGAGATAAAGAGTTAAGTCAGAATTTATGAGATAAAAGTCCATAATGACATTAAAAGTAATTTTTTTAAAGTTTATATTATAATTATGACTTGTCCCATAATTTCGACTTTAATGTTGACTTTTTTCATCTCATGAATTTTAATTTTATAACTTAATAGGTAAATTTTGACTTTTTATTTTATAATTATGACTTGGTATGTCATAGGGCTGGACAATAATTCAATATCAATTTGTGCCATTTTTTTCCTAAAATATTATATAGTTTTATAGGAGTAGGTTTCATAGAGTTGGCAAATTAATTTTTCATAAGTTTGTAGGTACAGACATCTGTTGTGGCTGTTCTTGGCCGTTTTTATAAGGGCTTTTTTAATAGTGTTCATATTGATATCGGAATTATACCGTATCGACCGAAATTAAGAAATATATCGTGATATAAATTTTGGCCATATCGTCCAGCCCTAGTATGTCATAACTCTGACTTTTTTTAATCTGATAATTTTGATTTCTTTTATCTTTAACTTATGCCATAATTGTGTCTTATCAAAGCATGATTTTTTTTCTTATGTGGCAGAAATGGGCTTCCATAAATATGACTCCAGTTCTCGTTTTAAATTTGGACAGTAACGGTTGGGTGGGGCTAATTGTCACATTTATGGACCAATTTCAGTCTTTATAACTTTAAGGTCAACATGCAATTGCTTTCACAACCCATTTGACTTTTATTTTGTCACGTAGTTCACGTGAAACATGTGGAGTGCAAAGTGGCCCTTCCATATCATAAGTTATAACAGAGAACTGAATAGCACACACGGCCTGATAAGTGCTGAAAGGAAAAGTTCCTTTAAGCTGATGAAAGATTACAAAAACATTCTCGTGTACTGATGAATCATTCACAAGAAGACCACGAAGGTTCACCAAGAAAACGGGGTAATTTTGATTGTTTTGCATTGCATCCTGAAAACACGAGTACTCCATTCACTGACCCGACTGTTTTATGTGTCTCCATGAGCACGGTGCCATCAGCTCCTGGGACAGGCATGGAGTTGTAACGCACGTTCACCTGATTCCTTCTCAATAGGAACTCACGGCCAATCTTCAGACCTTCGTAGAACACAGCCAGCAAGAACACACCAATGCACGCACCTACCATTTCTAGAGATGAGGATGAAGAGAGGTTAAAACCCAGGAAACCTCACATTGTCACCTGCTTTATCTTATTACCCCAGTGTAACCGGGACTTCCTGGTAGCAAAAAAATTCTGCTTTGTTTTCATAATTCAGATGCATCAGCTTATCAAAACTAGAACAATCTAGTAAAACCTGTGCAACCAGTACACTTGCCCTTAAATGGATCTTATGACATTATTCACAAGAACGCCACTGTTTTACGTGTAATAAAAGAACAACCAGTGACATGTTTTGTTCAATATCGAATTTCAGGTCCTCTGTAACGTTAGGTTCACACTGAAAGTGATTCACTGGAGGAAGGCAATGTTGCTTTACACTCGCATTGGCAGTCAGTGCATCAAGTCAATGCTCATTTGCATGAAAGGTTGCCTTGAAATGAATTTAATATGACTGGATAATGTTATTGTTTCGTCACCGCAAATTGCTGCCAGTGTGAATGACTTTGAAGTGGATAATTCACTCAAAAAAAAAAAATATAATAATAATGTCATCGTGTCGTTCTAAACCTGTATGACATTTGAAAAACACAAAAAAAAATAGATAATTTGAATGTTGGGAACTGAATATTGGAGGTCACTGACTTGCAATGTATGGATGCAAAAATATCTTTCATATGTTATTTTTGATATATTAAAAAATAAATCTCAAAATATCTTTTATGTTCCACAGAAGAAAGTAATTCATACAGGTTTGGAAGGACATGAGGGTGAGTAAAGAAGAGAGAGTGTTCATTTTTTGGTTAACTATTCCTTTAAAAGCTGCTCCTATTAGTAGGGCCCTATGATTCCGGTGTTGCAGAAAATGAGGACAGAATCGCAGAATCCAGTCATAAACAAGAAATTTACAGTATAAGGTATAATGTCAATGACAAAATTTGGATAAATAAATAAAAAATAAAAAAACAGCGGTACACTAAATCAAATCCTGATATGGACTAGTGTCTGTAAAGACATTTATTATTACATTTACATATGATAGAAATATATCACTTTTTGTACAATACAATGTACTTCACAAAGTAATAACAATAATAATAGTACCGTTTATTAAATAGGAATATCACCATTTTTTTTATTTTAACTTTAAATGGTAAACCTCTCTTGTGCAGCACTTTGTTTGCCAAAAAAAAAAAAAAAAAGGTTTGTTTTTCATTTGATTTTAAAAACGTAAATTTGTTAAAGTATTATGCATTCACTTGATTACCACTGTCTGTTGATAATACATTTTTAATAAATCATAAAACAAAGAATCCAGAAAAATTCAAACAGAAAACACAGAATCTGGCGGGGGGATGGAATCAGAGAAGAAAATCAATCAGATTTCATAGACTAGTGTCTGTAAAGACATTTATTATTACATTTACATACGATAGAAATATAACACTTTTTGTACAATACAATGTACTTCACAATGTTAGTTTAAAAACAGCCCTTGCAAAATTTCACCAAATTAGAAAAACACCATCTTACCTCCTGGTGTGTTGATGACCAGCCCAGCGAATAGCAGCTCCACATTTTTGTAGCCAAAGTAGAAGGTCATTTGCTGAAAGAATAAATGAATCAATGTGTTCAACCTATGTTTTCCCATAATGAATAACACAATTCTGAATTACTGAAATAAATGAACTTTTCCACGACATTCTAATTTATTGACATGCACCTGTATGTTAATGAAGCAGTAGTCTTGCTTCTACTGAACAACAACTTTAAATGAACAGATAACATGATCACGTCTTTGTTTAATGCGAAGATGGATTTTTATCAAGTGAACTGTCTAAATACTGACACACAGGCTTAATGAACTCCTGGTGGTCTCACCATCATCATCATCATGTGATCCCCGTTGCCTGTGTCGGTGGACGTCATATGGTCCCCATGATGGTCCGAGACAGCTGACTGCATGGTTGGGTTCATATGGTGACTGTGTGGATTTGACATCTTTATCTTACTTCACAGAGGTGCTGGGGAGAGATCAGAGTACAAACATTCAAGTTATGCATTTGACAGTTCTCTAGAATAATAAAGGAACAGTTCTTCAGTATAGTGAATACTATTCTGCTAAATGAAAGGAGCAGAACATACTATAGCTGAACGTTTCAAGTGTTTCTGGATCTTGAAAGTAGCTTTTTAGCTATGGGAGTTTGATACTATGCAGGTGCCATACAAGGATAATCTGTAAGATCCTGATCTGCAGGTTAAAAGCAGCAGCCAGAAATAGCCTACAGCAGCCCCAAAGAGTATTTGAAGACTTGTAAATATCGGAATATCATTGCATTATAAGTTGTATCTGCTAACAAAGTGAAAACAAATGCCTTTTTCTCAGAAATAACTACAATCTTCTGAGCAATGACTTTTAATCAACTGGTGTAGCAGTGAATTTTAGTGGATATATTAAAGGGTTAATTTACCCCCCTCCCCCAAAAAAAGTAAAATCTGTCACCATTTACTCATTCTCATGTTTTTCAAACCTGAAATTCATCTTCGAAACCCAAAGATATTTTTAATGAAACCTGAGAGCTTTCCCTAACTCCACTGAAAGTCCATTCCACCAAAACGTTGACATTTCAAAAAGTTCATAACGACATCTTAACATTATGAATTAAAAGTGGTTTAATCCAAGTCCATGTCTGAAGAGTCATGGTCATTTTACACAAGGGACGGAAGTCTTTATGTTTAGGTTTCATAAATCTCTCAAGTTTCAATACAAAAAAAAAAAAATCATTTGTATTTTCGAAGATGAACAAACGTTTAATAGGTTTGGAATGACATAATAGTGAGTAAATGGGTGAACTAACCCTTTAAAAGTCAGTTCTCTAGCAGAGTAACCACCGGTGTAGTTCATCACATTAACTATCAATCATGAGAGTGTCATAATATGTTGTTTTCTGGAAAGTATGCATTCACATTAATTGTTTTTTTTTTTTTTGTAATATAAAGCATTTTAATAACAATATTTTACTTGTGCTTATATTTGAGTAGAATAAAAATGTCACTTGATTTGATATTTTGTATTTATTTAAGTAACCAGATACTTCTCAAGGTCTCCGAGTATTAAATGAAGCCACTGGTTATTTTCAGTTCAAATTCTAACAAAGGAAAAACAGACACAAGAGACCTTCACTAATCAAATGCTCCGACAACCCCAGGCTATTCACCTCGACAACATCGTCCAGATAATCAAATAGTTCCCTCTATAAAACAATTACTTTCCCCATCAAGCAGCAAACATGCTTTTCTAAAGGTCTGGGACAGCCTCGGGGATAAAACACACATCAGAGATGACTGTATGTGACACACACCAGACTAATGAATGTGATTATCTTTACTATCTGTACTAACCAGTAACCAGTAGTCAGCATTTTGTGGTTTGACTAAACAGCAGACACTTGCTTACTGTTTTACAAAATGAAACTTTTCCTCATAATTAGCTCAGATTCAGGTCAACTGAGGAACAGTGAAAGCTGAAATCAAGTCAGAAAGTACACTCAGAAAATAAATGTCTGCTTGTATCCTGTCTTCATACACAGTCCAGACAATGTGCACTGTTGTCGAGAAGTAAATCGCATCATGTGACTGCTCACTTATAACTTACAAGTCTGCACACACTAGTTAAAAGTTATACGTTTTTATGTACAAAACAATATCATCTTCAGATTCCTAGTTAAATGGTCACAAAAAGTTTTTTGGACATGTATCTCGGTATTCTTTAAATTACCATGTAAATACTATATTATATTATCCAGTAATTATTTAGTACCAAGGCATTAACACTTGAGATACCATGGCTGGCTTGTAAACATGACTAAATGTTTGTTAAATGTTGCATTCACTTGTTTCTGCCATTAAACAATCTGATAAAAACAAATCTGACTGTCGAACACAATACAAAAAAAAAATGTAATCCAATGAAGAATTTCCCCAGAAACAACTCACCCAAGCAAAATCTGTCACCTCTCTCAGTTGGCTTCCTTGGTTTCTTAAGGGAGTTTTTTTTTTCTGTTTGGCACTACAAAAATGTACAAGTATTTCCTGTCAGGCTTTTCTTCTCACAGTATCTTTTGGCAAACAGGTGCAGATAGCGAGTAATGTGCAGCACGGTAGCGATAGTGTTCAGGAACAGCGTTCGGAATATAGTGTGAGGCTCGTCGTACTGCACTGACTTCTCTTGTGACCTTTCATCTGCTTTTCATTTCCCTCTTCTGCCATTAATCCAATCACAAGGTTTTAGCCACACCCACAAAACCCTGAAAATACCTCCTCTCTTCACTCACTATATAGCTCCAGTCAAAAGTTTGGACAAACTGCTAATTCTGTATTGTTACTACTTCCCACCTTTTAGAACAATAGCCATGAAATTATCATTTTAATAACACAAATGGAAGTAAGGTAATTATGTAGTATGGAAGTACCTTTTCTGCCACTGAATGAAAAAAAAAAAAGATAATTGTGACTTTTTTCTTGCAATTGCGAGTTCTCACAATTTTTTTCTCAGACTTTGCTTTGACACAATCTGTATTGTTAAAAGCGCTATATAAATAAAGGTGACTTGACTTGACTTGACTTGAGTAATATAAGCTTGCAAGAAAAAAAGTTTTGTGAGAATTGTAAGGTAAAAAAAAAAACCTCAATTACTTTACTTATTTTTCATTCAGTGGCACAAACAGGCTTCCATAATCTAAATTACAAACAGAAAAAAGTCAGAAAAAGTCAGAACTGTTTTTCTCAGAATTGCGAGACAGCACTTTATAACATGCAATTGTGAGATATAAGCTCGCAACTGTAAGAAAAGTATTTTTTCCTCGGAATTGGACTTTATAACACAGAAAGAAGTCAGAATTGCAAGATATAAACTCGCAATTGCGATAAAAAAAAGTCAGAATTGTGAGATAATTAATTACCTTGTTTTATTTTTTTATTCAGTGGTGGAAACGGGCTTCTATAACATAGTGCCCATTAAAAATGTAAAGTCAAAACTATCTTGCATTTTATCTTCCTCAAAGTAACCACCCTTTGACTAGATTCTAATAACAGACCAGTTTTATTGAGAAAACAAAGTTTAGAGCATTAAAATGGAATTAACTGTCTATATCAGCATGCCGACGTGAGCCCGACGAGAGCCAACGAGTGGAACACACCAAACAAACTAGCCCGACCGTCGGCTTGGTGTGTCCCGGCCTTAACATTAAAGGCGGGCGTACACGGTGCGATTCTGAAGGTCGGAACGTCGTGAGCTCTGCCACGTCACGATTGAGTTTATCCGAAAATCGTACGGAAGACAAAGGACATGGCAAAGAGAATGGCTGAAAAGCAGAGAAAAGCATGGACTTTCTGTTCTTCATAAAGAACTCGAGGGAGTAGGCCATTTCTGAATTTCTGCTCGTTTTGCCGGAAATACAACAGGCATATTCATTCATAAAGCTGAACGGCAAATTTGGCACATCAGGAATAACAAATAAAAAATAGAACTGTATAATTAAACTTAAATTATTATAGACTATATGGTTTTTGTCATCTTCTGATTGGTCAACTTCAGATGGATCGCCAAATCGTCTCGTTCAACTGCACATACGCCACGAATTTAAACAACAGCATCCGATTTTTTTTTTTTACATGTTTGAAAACTATCGGGAGGACGGGAGATGCTCGTAACGTCTCGGAACGGCCCGTAATTCTTCTCACACGGTACGAGCCGCGACCATGCGAGCATCTGCGATTTTCTCCCGAGAGAAAAAAATTGCCTGCGAGCTCGTACGACAGCAAAAATCGCACCGTGTACGCCCGCCTTTAGTGCATCAAATCTATGCTGATAATTGAAAAACAAGTTTGAAAAAAAATTGTCAAGAAAAAGGGCTTGGATGAAAAAAAAAGAAAAAAAAAAGTGGGTTGACACGACAGAATTACACATGTGTACTATGTTGCTCCCATCAAAATACTGTTTCTTGGTAAAATGTTCAAGGGTGCATAAAATCTGACTTCTATTCCAAACAAATTTTTACTGTATCAGTATTTTTATGTTTTTTGTGAACACCAAAACTTATGCAACAATTAATTTCTTTAAGGATGACGTCAAAGGCCAGTTGGATGAAAACAGGCTGGAGACTGCTTGTTCCCATAAAGATAAACAACAGACAGTAAGAAATCAAAAAGAGAGGGGTGTGAGAGAGATCATGAAATTAAGCGTTGTGCCCGAGTGTTAAATATTTGCACAGCTATTTCAATGATAATATTATATTACCTTGTTTGTGTCTTAATCATTACTTAATAAGTGATGGTATCAATGATCTTTTGAGTGCTTGGATAAAGGACAAGGATCTGGTCAATCATTACTGATCGTTATGATGTTCAGACCACATAACCTCATCATTGGCAGGTCATAAAACGCAAGCAAACGAATGTGAAGGGGGCAACATGAGCCAGCATTAACTGTGTTCAATACCACTAGTAGTGTAATCTACCAGCGTTAGTGCAGAGGTCAAGATGAGGTACAAAGAGCAACTGAGCAGCAGTTGACTCATACAGAGCATTTCAAAATTTCACAACAGCCAACAAATGTTGAATTTTAATGTGTATTTTGTTTGGTTTACCAGAAGTCATGGATTATATGGTTAAACAAACAGTTCTGCTCCAGTTACAGTGAATCTAAGAAATCACAGAACTCTCAGCAAACATCCGTCATTATTATTATTAACTGACTGTACTAAAAGCATCATCTGTTGGTTGATACCACAATATATATACAAAAAAAAAAAAAATCATATCCTATACCACCTAAATTGAAGGAAAAAAACATTTTTCTTAAAGTCGTGATGAATCAGAAGTAGTGCCAGATCTTTTCTTCTGTATTGTTGTTTCATTGGAAAAGTTTGAAAAAGTTTTCATACATTTGAAAAAGTATGAGGTCAAAATGAAAAATAAACAACTAAAGACATGCACTGATGGATTCATTCCCAATAAGATCAATAATATGCTTTTAGAAAATAGACGGGGTGAATTTTCAATTCATGCCGACTTGATGCTGGGAAAATAAAGCCTATTTTCACTACAAGCTCTGTAATGCTAAACATATTACTGAAAAAGTTTTTCAAATGATATATTATGTACATTTTGCATTATTTATATAACAGTAGAGTTTTTGTAGTGAATTGAACTTATTTTAAATTGCAAAAATATTTTAAAATGTTGATTTTAATAAAAAAATGCATCAAGATATAATATGTGTGTATATAGCACTAATCTTGACATGGGAAGGCTTTTTCTCCAAATCTATCACTATTGCTATTAACGCGATAAATTACCAGCCCTAATATATATATATATTAGGGCTGGTAATTTAACACGTTAATTAGATTAATTAATTACGGTGAAAAATAATGAGTTAAAATTATTAACGCATTTAACACACTTGCCCTGCCCTCATTTGTTTTTCATATTACAGTTATAAAAATTACGGAAAGAGGGGGAAATACAATTATAATGCAAAATAAATGTTGGTACAAGTCGTGCACAAAACCCTAGTTTCTGTTTCAGAAACCAATATGTATAACAGTGTGACGCAATACAGAAACCATATTGCAATATGGCTAGTTAATTTAAAAACCAAACCATCTGAGCTTGAACTTTTAATAGACCTATCAAAATCACATACGAATTCAATCATTCATATATTTTTTTAAAGTCAAGCTCGGGATGTTTTTAAAACCCTACTGTAAAAAAAAAATTCTGTAAAAAAACGGTAATGTGCTAGCAGCAGAGTCGCCAGCAATCTACTGTAATTTTACAGTATTCATACTGTGAAATTATTGTACAGTTTATTACCATAAAAATGAAATACAGTATAATTCTGTTTTTTTTATTTAAAGTAAAATACTGGCAGCAGAGTCACCAGCAATCTACTGTAATTCTACAGTATTCATACTGTGAATTATTTAACAGCTTTTTTCTGTAAAAATTAAATGCAGTACATTTCTGTGATTATTTCAATTTACAACATCATTATGGTTACTTTAAATTCACTCTTTATTGTACAAAGGCATAAAATAATGGATAGAAATAATTAGATTGAAGATTCATTACTTATTTAATTTATTTCAAATCTTTTTTAGATTTATTTTAAATCTAATGTTATTTTATGCCTTTGTAAAGAGTGAATTTAAAGTAACCAATGATGTTGTAATTAGATTTACAGTAGAACATTATTGTTCTGTGGGCTACACACATCTACTTAAAATACATTATATTGAAAGATCTAAAAAACAAGCACACACTTAAAAGATATAAATCAAAATAAAGTTTTATTTAAAAGAGCAGTCAACATTTAACAAGGATTCAAAACTAAAAAATGGGTAAAAAACCGGAGAAGACAGATTTTGGCTAACAAACAAAAACTTAAAAATAAAAATAAAAACAATGGCAATAAAAAAAAAATAAATAACAGGCACAAACATAACAAAATAAGTTACAAACATGACAACCTGAGATTAAACACATTAAACATTTTAACATTTAACATTTTTTGAACATTTTTGGATCTGCACTACTAAGAACATGCAACAAATTTAGTGAAACATTTTAGTGAAAAAACATTTGTTCAGGATTTTTTCTGCACTTTATTAAACGTTCCAGTGAGGAGGCATGTGTACCTTTTAAAAGAGTCCTAGTCCTAGGTGAATGACTTTGTCATTTTACACCCACTTAACCATGACGACCTGGCTGCATGTTGTCTCCTAAGGTATTCCAACTGGTACCTCTGTAAAACATCAGCAAACAAAATATTTTATCAAAATAACTGTAGAATTGTCAATGTAGAGATAACAAGGAGATTGCTGATAGTGTTGACTAACAAAACGCTTCCTGCATGTCTCAAGTCAACTAATTTTTTCATAACACTGCTACTTCCATAACTATTTTTTTAACATGTTTCTACTGTTCAGATTCACTGAATGGTCCATGTTTATATTACAGCACAAAATTATTCCTAAGATGTTGCCTTTTGTATAGATGGTAATAAACTGAATAACTAACACCTGGACAAATGTTCAGCTACAATGGTATCAACTGTGGTTGGTCTAATTCAGTGGTTCGCAAACCTGTCCTGGGCTGCATTTACTGCAAGTCTTAATGCACAGACCAGATCTTTTGACCATATCCGATTTTTTGGCCAGTCTGTTTACATTCGGGTTTTGAACGGCT